CCAATTGCCCGGCCGGGCCAAAAATGAAAAAAAAAAAAAAAAAAAAAAAAATCATGGTTAAAAAAAAAAAAAAAAAAAAAAAAAAAAAAAAAGGCAAAGAAATTCAATCCGATCCTGGGGCAAAAGTTGCAATCAGACTCGCTTTCTTTTCCACTCCGCATACATGCAAACAGTTGGCGATTCACACTGGCGCACATCGCCCACTCAAAGCTCAGAGATATGACAATCGAGAACACAGTTCAGATGCAAAACTCGCTTCAACAAGCTATGGCGCATCAGCGCCTACACAGCCAAACTCTCGTCACTGCGTTCAACGCCACTGTTTGCCCATACTCAACTCGGGATCACCCTGAATATACCCACACACGTTCACTCTGTCACTTACTCCTACACACTCACTAACTCCTAACACCACAGCGGCTATGGCCGCTCACTTCTACTAACTATGGCTACACTATCATCTCTCAGCCCACTTCGACTTCGGGCAACCTGCAGACCACCTTCGCACAAGACGCTGTAGCAGCGCTTCCATGGCCTATGCAGCGAATGAATGAATGGCTGGACGCTGCCGCTTGATTTATACTTCTGTTTGCCGCTGGTCTGCCCCTTTCCACCAGGCCCTTGGTGCACGCAGTCCCACACGGTACTTGCCTGACTGGACTGCGACTGACTGGGACCGGTACCGTTAACTGCACGGGATTGCACTGCCGACTCTATGCAATCGCACTGCCGACTCAGTGCCGTTGGGATTACCACTTGCCCACTTGCCTCTGGCTAAACGTGCGACAACTTCGAAAGGCCACTTCTGGACCTTCCGGAAGTCTGCAGACTTGGCCTTTCGAGTACTATAGCAGCTACGACCTTGACCTTTCAGGACTGTGGCAGCTACGACCTTGACCTTTCAGGACATCTACAGCTACGACCTCTACAGAGCTGTGACCTCTACTCGACAGACCTACAGATCGAACCCCTACAACTACACAGACCTACGACCAACAACAAACAACTACCAAAACACAGGTCATGGGTTCAAACACTTGGGGGTCAGCTTGATACTGTACATGGGCAAGGTAAGGTCTGGGGATCGAACTCTAGGGCCCGCATCTGTGACTGCAGACAGGTGAAAACCGTTTCACTTCCGCCGGCCTAAATTCGAGGTCCTCCGAGAATACTTCAGTGTAAGGCAGGACCTTTACCCTTTTTATCTCTTTCGTAGGCTCGGACTATATCGGGAGCTGTCTCTAGAAGTTCTGTTCGCATGAACCAGCGGTCGTCTTCTGGCTCTTGAAAGGCAAATCTGACTTTGTACTGTTTCTGTGGACAGCCTCTACCTACTGTCCTGAAGACATCCTCACCTACTATCCCATCAATGTCATATATTCCATCCATATCCCGGGGAATCATCGATCTGCGTGATGGAAACTGTTGACTTGTGACGCAAGGCAACAGCTTTGAAGCATGGAACTCTGGGTAGGTATGGAGGTGTGCTGGAATCTCAATAGTATAGGACGGTCCATCCTCTCCGCCCTTGACTTCTAAGACTGGCCATGGTCCTCTATACACAGGCAGTAACTTCTGTGAGATGTTCTCCTCAGGAGTGAACTCTTTTGACTTGACCCAGACTAAGTCACCTACTTGAAACTGTGAGGGGCGACGATGCTTATTAGCTTGCTCTATCATTCTGTGCTGGGCTTTCCTGAGGTTATCTACAACGGTAGCTATCTCTTTCTCGTGCTGTATCGCAAACTCTCGGGTACCGGGTGGTAACCTCTGAATCTGATCCCGGTTAAGTCCCTCAAACGGTCTGCGCGGTCTAAAAGACTTGTGCAGTTCGTTGGGAGTGCGACATGTGATGACCCGTCCAAACATGGACTGAAACACACAGCTGATTTCTGAGTTTTGCCCATAGACTGAATGCCCTGCTGAGTTTCCCGCTTGCTACTAAGTCTGTGTGTGCACGCTTGCTGGACTGCATGTCTGTCTGAGTGCTGGTTGGCTTGAGTGTGTGTGTGGCCGTGCCTGTCTGAGTGCGGGTTGGCTTGAGTGTGTGTGTGGCCGTGCCTGTCTGAGTGCTGGTTGGCTTGAGTGCGTGTATGGCCCGCAAGGGCACTTGCTCGTTCATTGGGGCCCTCAGGGACGGTACTCACCTGTGGCCGTGACATTGAGGGATTGCAGCAGGAAAAACACTCAAGTAGCAAGTAGGCCGGTACCGCACCCTGAAGGGGTAGATGTGCGGGTACTGGAGGCCGAGCAGAAGAAGCCAAAAGTGGCATTTTTAGAGGCCCAGTATTTGTAGGTTAGGTCTAGGCGGATACCGGTCCAACCAGTCTGGGTCTAGGGCCTGTACGGGCAATATCAGAGTCTGCAATGATGTTTCCCTCCGAAAGAGAGGAAGTACCAGTTGCTTGGAAGGCCGAGCGGCCTGGAAGTCACCGCCCGAAGAGGCAAGCAGGCCGCTATATCTCCCAGCCGGGCGAAGAGCCCGGCCGCTTTTTTGGTGTGCAAGTTCGGTGACACACTGGTGGAGCACTGGCTGGAGCAGCACTGCTGGGGAGGAAGGAGAAGGACACGAGGGAGGAAGGAGGAGGGAAGGGGGAGGAGCGCCAGGGGTACTTACCTGGCTATGGTGGCAGCCATCTTCATCACCTTGGTCGGCGCTGCAGCAGGGAGTCCCCAACTGAGGAGAGCCACACCAAGAAGCTTCGAGGCAGGGTCAGGTCTTGGTAGGGTCAGGCATGGCGGCCTGAGCTAGAGCAGCCATAGCTGCTTTGGGTTGTCCTTTGGGCATTTGGGCAAGGCCTAGTAGTCCGCCATAGCCTCGGCCTATGAGAGTGAAGAGTGGGAGAGGCGGCCATGGCTATGGTGGACCTCAAGTGATACCTGCAGTAGAAGAGGAACTCGGACATTGATTCTGGATCAGCTATTCAACATTGTATTATTATTTCTTGTATGAATAAGAGAAGTGGGAGATAAGGAGGAGGAGATTGTTGGGCGAAGAAGAAGAGCCTTGTCATTTGCCTATGCTGGTGTACATCACCTTCCTTCTTCTTTCTTACTTCTTCTTCTTCTTCTAATCCTCTCTCTCCTCTCAAGTTCATTCATTTCTTTCTGCAATTGGGCGGCATTGTACTATCTGATGGATGTGTATCTCAAAATTGGCCAGGATCATAACAGACATGTAGATAAGTGCACGCTATTATTATATGCACTGGCTACCTTAGGAAGCATCTCATCCCAGTTGATCTGGTCGGGCCTAATGTACATCCTAAGAACTTGCTGCAGGAGCTTGTTCATCTGTTCGGTCTGGCCGTTAGTCTCAGGATGGCGGCCAGATGACATCAATAACTTGGAACCATAGACTTTCATTAGTTCCTGCCAGTTCTGACTGGTGAACCTGGTATCTCTGTCACTAACTATCGACAGCGGTACACCATGCTCACTGACCCAATTGTCAAAAATCTTTTGAACTACTAAGTCTGTGCGTGCTTCTGCAGGCAAAGGAACAAAAACTGCGTACTTACTAAACCTATCAACTATGACCATGACTTGATTTTTGCCATGCCTACTCTTGTCAACGACCCCAGCATCCATAAAGTCAATGGACACAGAATCTCCGGGTTGGTCAGGAATAGGCAAGGGTCTGAGAAGACCAAGAGGGGCTCGCGTAGTAGTCTTGTTTCTCTGACAGACTTTACAACTACGCACGTACTCTATGCAGTCGGCCTTCATTCCAGGCCAGATGTGCACGTGCATGAGGTTGGCTAGTGTCTTTTGCCAACCGAAGTGTCCCTCTGTACCACATTAGTCTTCTCAAATAGCAATCCATCAGTAGTGCGGTAATCTGGTTCGGACTCTGGGGACTCCTTAACTCTCTTAAGGAGGTCACTATAGATAGGGTCCTGTGGTCTCTCCCTATATCCAGATAGTGAACTATTGCCCCAAAGTAGTCAGCTCTCCCACTTAGAGCATCTGCAACTACATTGTACTTCCCTTTAACTGGCTTAAGTTCGAAGTCATATTGATCTAATTCGGCGGCCCACCTAGTAAGCTTAGGTGTCATCTTGGCCTGTGTCTTTAACCACCTTAGTGTCTCGTGGTCTGAATAGACTTTGAAGTGCCTCCCAAGCAAGTAATGTTTCTAGTGCTCTAATGCTTGCCTGAGAGCGTTGAGTTCCCTCTCATAGGTGGATGTTGCTACCTTCTCTGAAGGCATCTTGGTTGACATGAACTCTACGGGCCTATATCCATTGCCATCGTCTTGCTGTGAAACAACACCTATGCCATATTGACTTGCATCACTGGAAACGACAAAAGGCAGGGACGGATTGGCATCCTTAAGGGCTGGATTCTCTATCAAAGCTTGCTTTAACTTCTTCAGGGCTAATGTACAGTCCTTGGCCCACTTCCAGATTGCTTCTTTCTTTAGCAACCTGCGAAGGGGTGCAGCGATGGTGGAGAAGTGCCTGACGAACTTCCTATGGTAATTAGCTAGGCCTAAGAACGACCGCAACTCTGTCAATGTGCGGGGCGTTGGCCAATCTCTAATCGATGCTATCTTGTTGTCTTCAGGTCTAACGCCGTCTCCGTCTAAGACGTGGCCCAAGTACAAAACTTGTGTCTTGGCCCATTCGCACTTCTTTGCGTTGATCTTGAAGTCAGCTTCTCTGAGCTTCTCCAAGACCTGCCTCAGATGGCCCTCATGCTCCTAGAGGGTCTTACTGAACACTATAATATCATCTAAATACACTACAACAAATCTATTTAACCATGGCCTGAACAAATCATTCATACAGCGCTGGAAAGTTGTTGGCGCATTG